GGCAACAGAAAATGACCTGACATGCAATCGGTTAACTTATAACATGTAATCGGTTAACTTATAATTTATAATTTGGAATAATGGATTGGGGGAAACCCGTATCGCCGGCATAGCACGAAGTGAAGTAGAACTAGATGCCTGTGCATGTCATAAAAATGCACTGTTGCTGTTTTTTTGCTGTTAATGGATGTATTAGAAATTACAGAACTTAACTGATTATGATGATTGTACCACTCCTCCCCCTTCCCCTCCCCTCCCGCTGTCATCCCTTTCTCCACTTCTCCCGTAGCCACGTTAAATATTAGTACCTTAGAGATAGACAGTGAATTAGGCAATAGTTCTGCACCATATCAGTCTCTCGACATAAAATGTAAATTTGGAATCAAGTTGTATTGATGTTGCGCCAGATCTATTAAGTCCCCTTTTGTTCATGTTTATTATATATAGATACCGCTTCACAGTAATATCTCTTCTATGGTTTTTTTTTTCTTTTTTTTCAGAAACAGTGCGTTCTTCCATCGTTTTCATGTACTAAACATTTCAAATATCACAACCCCTTATACTACTGCATTTGAGAAAACCTAATATGCTGCCTTTTGTAGATGAGGGAAAAAAAAACAATCGGATTCACTCTGTTCTTAACATTACTTTTTATACGTTGCTACCTATTATAATCCTCTCGGCAACTGCTTTCCCATCCATCATCGAATCTCTTCCATCGTTCTGGACGCGAATTTATAAACAGGAACAGCTCTTCTGGTTCATCGTCTGGCTTTTGATCTGTGCAGCTTACAGCTTTTTCACTTCCCTAGTCGCTTTGACCAGTGCCGCATCACCTGCCCACCAGTTTTCTGGCGAGGTGTCCATTTCTTGTGAAGGAATTATCAGCTTAGTGGTCTCCCCAACTAAAACACTTGCCAGGACTTTAGCCGTTTTGAGATTTGTGCTGGAAATCAACACCTCGTCCCAAAAATTGTTACTGTTAGATGACAGCAATTATTCTACTCACTAAAAGTTAGTTGTCACGAAGTTTGAGTCGTCTGCAGCTATCATCGAAATGGCTTCAAATCTCATCCCTGCGCATATTTCAGGTGATATTTTTGATTGGCAATAAGAGTGATCTGGATGGTCAGCGAGATGTTACATATGAAGAAGCAAAAGCATTTGCTGACGAAAATGGCCTGACTTTCCTGGAATGTTCCGCGAAAACGTATATTCATTCTTTTTTTTTTTTTTGTATTTGCCAGTCGAGCTTATATCGTCTTGCTCTGTGCTTTTATGTCTTTTCTCTCCAGCCGCTTGAACTAATTTCAGCGAATTTGAACGTTTCATACTGCAGTGCAGACTTATCTTTAGAATCTTTCTTAAATTGTATACATCGCCTGGTTTTGCTTCGAAACACTATGTATTGGTTTTGTATTTTAGTTCAGTGCATGTCGTGTGAGTGCTGTTGGTTTCTTGAAATAACAGTCCTTTTTCGAGTTATAATTTAGATATTACGCACCTCATTGAACTTTTTAAGTCTATCTCCCCTC